GGAAATGGATAGAGTAAACACAAAAATAGAGACGATGAAGATCAAATTTAAGGGATTTTGTCGTGTAAAATATTTGAATTTTACATTTATGGTAATTGCTACTTGACGGTACAAGTTTTTGCACGTGAATTCGGCACGATGTTTAAAATTAGGTCTATGTTTTTTTTTTTTAAATAGAATTTTGACCTAATATAATATTATTTTTTACGTGTAATCTTATCCTAAATTCTTGTTTAGTATTCATACTACCGAAGTAAACTCTTAACAAGTTTAATTAGATATGGTCGTGGTTCTATCAATGTTATTTCCAGGATGATTTTCTCAAATTCCATTTCTTTGATTGTCAAATATAAATAGATGACATAGTAATTTTGCATATAATTAACACAAAAAAAATTTTAAAGATGAGAATATTTGACATATTAAGCAAGTAAATAATACCAAATATCACACTTTTAAATATTTTATTTCGATTGTTTTTATGTTTTTAAAAGTCTTATGTGATATAAAATTACGAATTCAAAGAAAAATTATACAGATTAATTCTTTTCCACAACCGATCGTTCACGACTCCTCGAAGATCTAAAACCATGACTGGAAATTTATTCGGTAGTTGATTGTCCTATAAACAAATTGAATATTTAGAACCTCCACCTGCTTTAATTTGCTCATTATACGATGCTTAAAACATATAAAAGTATATATTTAAGTCCTATTTATTCTATCAATGTGAACTTTCTCTATCGAATCCGATAGAGATCGGATCAATGGCAGTTGAATAACACTTAGAGGGAACTAGTGGATAGTAATTACAAGTAACACAATAGGTTTGGTTGGAATGAAGGAAATCGACACAGACTCTCCACATAGGATTATCGTGTGACATTGGATTAATCGTGCATAAATACGATTCATTCCATTAACTATATAGAACACTGACCAAAGTATCTACTCCTATACTGAAGTATAGGCGAATGCAAAGACCGTGAATATCGTTACACTGTTACGGCATGTCAACCGATTTAGAAGAGAAAGAAAAAATAAATAAATAATAATATATATTTATCAATGTAAAATTTTAAAAAATATTATTGTTATTATTTTATATTTACATTCTGGAACGTGGAGTTTCTCACTATGGTGCCATTTTTCCTCCTTTTTTATTAAAGTTAGATGAGAACTAAACATTTCGTTTATAATATTAACATAATAAAAATTTTTATTAAATTGTAAACTATTGAATTTTTTGCGAGTTTACATTGTTTGCATGTAATATATATTATTGTTATTATTAGAAAAAGTAAAGACAAAATAGAAACATTAACTACATTGATAGTTTACTTTAAAATTTTTCTCGCTCTGTTTAACTTAAGTTGATAGATTTGTATCTAAATTATATGTAAACATATTTAAAACTTTTTATTTAAAAAAATCAAGCAATGTTTATGATTTATAAGTAATATTTCGGTTAAATACTCTAGTAGAAAATTAAAGAAATTTTGACCTTTATAGATTTTAAAAGGTAAAATTCTATTGTAAAGTACGTCATATCTTAGAAAATAATATATGTTTTGATCTAAAAAGTTTTAATAAATCCGAGGAAAGTCGTAAGAGGAAACGAAAATGTAAAATTCAATAAAATTTTATTTATGAATTTGTATTACTCGATACAAGTTCGACTAGGAACGAGCATGCATGAAATAAAATTAAAAATTTGAAAAGATTACTTGAATTTTTATAGAATTGAACCGAAAATAAAATATTTTTTTAAATATACAACTCGAATTTTATGCAATTTTTCGAACAATAAGATATAAATCTCTTATTATGTGGCACAACAAAAATTATTTATAATGCGTAATATTCAGCTGTGTATGAAAATATAATAATAAATATCCTCTATTTAAGCTTATTAGATATAGAATATAATAATAAATTAGGAAGTGGAAGAATTAAATACGAATATTTGCGTCATCCTATGAGGATAATGAAGAAGATGATACGAGTTTGGCACTCATTTAAAGAAGACGAAATCTTATACGAATCTTAAAATATTCCCTTTCGTTTTTCTGTTTTTATTTCTCTGGTAATTAATTAAACTTGAGAAAAGTCACATTTGTTTAATTATTTTTTAATAAACGGCTCGAATACCAGCTGATTACAATTGAGTAGCTGTTCAGAGCTCTCTTGAAGAAAGAACTATTGGAAAATTCTCAACAAAGTTTGTATATGCCAGTTCGATTTTCGGGAAAAATTTACTTAAAAATTCAGCCGCTAGGGTAAAATTAGGGCTACTGTACAGTACGATTTTTACCAAAACTCTTGAAGATGTTAGCTACGAACGTGGTGAAATGTCGATGAATGGTTTCACCTATCCATTTCATCTATGAAAAATCTAGCAACGAGTCTTGCAATGATATTTAAAACTGCGTGTAACGCCATCTGATTTGATTTTTTATTAAAAAAAACTTTTTATATAATTATTATAAAATGATAAAAAGGTTAATTTTAAGGGTAGAGACCGGTTTTATAAACATTGTAAATGCTAATAACGAGTAAAATCTTCATTAAGTTCGATCCTACTCGAGATATGACACACTATCTTCCACTTCTTCAACCTTTAACCATCAAAATTTAATAGAATCAATTCCCCTAATGCACAAACCTTACTGCAAAATTTTGAAAATTTTCGACAAAAGACACGGGAGTTATTAAGCTTCAAACAGAGTGAACAAATTCGTGCTCCACAGGCACAAACATCCATACATACAGAAGAATTTTTTGCATTTTTCGACGTTTCAATGTCCACTGAATCCAAACATGTATAATATATATAATGTAAAACGATACCAAGGTCTCATGGATCTACGGATGGTGGGAGACTACTACTGGTTTCTTGTGAAAGAGAGTAAGAGGAACTACAAAAGGAAATCAATATTCTCTTGGATCTAATATAAAGAAGCATTTTTAAAGATAAAGCTTTCAAGACGTTTAAGGTACTTAGTATACACGTCACAGTATACAGTTATTATAGGTCAGCTAATACAGCAGTTTACCATCTTGATTTATCCGCCATGTTCAAAACAATGTAAATAAAGAAACGAAACCACCTTAAAATGATTTTCACAGATACATGTGATACATTCATACTGTATTCTGTATGTGTACCGTTGTATAAAGGTATGTCTATATCTTTAGATCTTTGCGTGATAAGAAAATTTAAAGGTGGTTTTTGAAATTAGAAGGATTTTTTCGTTAAGAATCGCCTATTTTAATACTGGAGGGATAGTTTAATTTAATTATATGACGGCATATATAAGCCGTATCAATGATGTTCATGGTAATATGAGTCATAAATCTAATGTAGATTTGTCTGATATTGAGCGAATATTTTCTTTCTAAATACCATGAACTTATTTCGTTTAATGCAATGTGTTTACACACGTTTAAATGCTGTTTATTTATTATTTCAGTTCCGTTTCTTATAATAGAATTATATTAGTAAATTCAACACAAACGGGATCACGCAAGTAACATTTAAAACATCCGGAACTAGAATGCGAGCGCTCCTTGCACGCAAAAATATTCGTGTATTTTTATATAAAACATAGCTTAAATGTTCTAATTGAAAAATATCTTTTCATTTCATAAATTCAATTTCAAGAATTTAAAATATACTCATTTTAACAAGTAAAAACTTCATCCAGACTATACCTCGAGTCGTTACTATCGTCAACACAAGTTACTGCATCACGATAGCATTACAGACACTAAACTATTGGCTAATAGTAGCGAGGTTGCGCCCGAAGTTTTCATCTCTAAAACGTGAACGTCGAACGTCGAGCGCCGCTAACAAGATAGCGGCGCTCGACGTTCGACGTTCACGTTTTACGGACGAAAACTTCGGCCGCAACCTCGCTAATAATAATTTAGGAGAAAAAGAGCTAGAAAAAAATTTTATAAAGAGAATACATCAAAATTACTAATATTTGCTTTGAGCAAATGATAATTCCCATATCAAAGCTGTATAACAGATACTAGACAATTAAAATGGATGAATAGTTGAATCTATCGTCGACGTTCAATGTTGCCTTCATTTTGTCGCCGTGAGATTCCGCCTTAAATACAGTGTACACAGTATGTATTTTATCTTTCCAAATTCATTTATTAAAATAATTATAACCACTTATTTTTTAAAAATAATATTATTCATCCCTATGTGGTCTTGTAGCTCATTCACGAAAACCTGGACACGCGGTTTTAGAAGGAACCTTTATGAATTTTATTGCTTCAAGAATTTAATTAGCATTAGATCATTGAGCAAATAGAAAATACTCGAAGACCAAGCTTTTCTTTCTTTTTTTATCACTGAGAAATTGCAAAAGAAATGGCTGTCGTAGGCAGAAAGGAGGTATTAAGTATTACATGTTATAAAGTCCATAAATCGCACGACACTATACATTCATCACTGTATCTTTTTTGATCGTTATTATATCTTCTTCATTTGTTTAAACTGTTTTATATGTTCAGACTTAACATTTAAGTTATAAAAAGGTGTTTTTGGAGTATTATTTTCATCTTTCTCTTAAATTTTAATTGAGGAACCGCGGGATAGAATTGAAGTCGGGAAAGATGCAGATGGCAGGCTGGTCTTCTTTCCTTAATAAATGGAGAAAAAGCGCTAATAAAAAATGCTATAAATGCCGATAATTAAAACAATTTAATAAAGTTTTTTTTTTGGGGAGAAGACACGAAAAAAATCTTCCAAAGTTTACTTTCAAGGAGTGGCCACTAACATGTGATTAAAGACACTTACGCACCCTACAAATAATAATTATTATATAAACTAAAATATTTTAAACAAAACAAATAAATTATTATTTTTTAATATATTATTACTACAGTTTAAATTTAAAAAATTTTAAATGGATAAATACCATTTAATATAACATGTTACGCAATTACGATATTACGAAACTATCGGAACTCAATCCCTTCGAAATCAAAATGGCTTCCTATACGCTGTCTAGCACTGTTTGGGAAATGTTTCGACCGAGTTAAATCGCGAAATCAGACCATATTTAAATTATTTTTTCGTTTTTTGTATCGATCATGTTTCGTGGCAAAGGTTGGTTTTCCGGAGGATTATGGAAGCCGAAGAATCCTCACTCTTTAGAGCATCTGAAGTGAGTTTTAAAAGTTGTCAAATTAAATTCAAAATTTCCCTAATTTTTGCTTCATTTACTCAAATATTACATTAAAAATATCCATTTATAATCTTTTTTCCTTTAATTTTAAATTAATTTAACTTATTTTACATATTTTCTTGCTTCAATGTTAATAAACATGACATGAATCTAATTTATAATTTGTATTCAAATTGAAGTGTTTTATTACATTTTATTAGCTATAATTTACAGTAAAATAATGTAAATCTCTTTTATAGGTGCTTCTAGATGACAAGCAGCTAAGTTGAAATGAACCATTGCTTTTGGATATGGATTGGTGGTTTATTTACTTAGCTACTTGTTGCTTAGAAGTACCAGATAAATGTATTTTTTTAATCATTAAATATCTATTAACGTGTTGCATGGCCTTATAAAATGAAAGATCATAGTTGTTTGTCTGGTGTTTGACAAAATGTTGGGTCGGCCGAGTCCATTTTTCCCTAATCTGCTACGTCTGATCTTCCTCTGCCTTTTTCAATTTTCTCCATGCCAACTCTTTCTTGGAAGTACTCTTGGCCTTTTCCCCTGTAACTGTTTATCAAAAATTTCTTGGAAGTGTACAGAGTGCGGCACCAAAATCTGGACAAATTACACATTTTTTTCAAACATATTTTTTATTGCAAAAAGTTTTACAAATTTTTTTTAACCACATTGTTTGTAAGGCAATAAAGAATACATTTACTCGATATATTCCCCTCCTGCTTGAATGACTGCCTCCACCATTCATGGTCTGAAGCATGCACAGGCGCGCTTTAATGTGTCACGGTCCATATCGGCGAATGCTGCATCAATAGCGCCTCTCAATGAGGTTTGGACTTGTTTGTGACCCTTTCAACTACACTCCATACATAGAGGTCCAAAGGATTCAAATCTGGGCTGTTGGGAGGTCAGAATTCTTTCAACCAAAACATATAAATGTTGTCCAACAACCAATTTTGCATCAAATGACATATTTTAATTGTGTAAGACTTGTAGCAAAGGTCTTCCTTGATGATTTTATGCTTAGTTTTCTTGCTCACACCAACAACCGACAACAATTTTCAAATTGACTGACCTGGATCCTCAAAAATCAGCTTCTGAGCCTGTTGGATGATTTTGGGTGTCCTGACAATGCACTCCTTCGAGTGAGTTTTCCTTGCTGGTGTTGTAAAACCTTCGTTGGACTTCTCTGACTCATTGTACTTTGTGACGACATCACACACAGTCAGTCTCAGGTACCCGAAGAACAGAATGATTTCTGTCGCCAAGTGCCCAGCACAAACACTTTCGATAATTGTGGCTTTTTGGTTATACTCCACACTTGGTTTCAACATTGTGGCTGTTTTGAGGTTATGATGATTTAGTACATGTGTCAAGATATTTGAAACGCCAAACACAACATCTACTGGTATAGAACGGCAGGAATTTGAAATTGAATTTTGTCCGGATTTTGGCGCCGCACCATGTATCACTCCCCCATCCTTTTCAAGTGTCCAAACTGTTTCAATCTAGATTGCATCATTCTGTTACCAATACTATGCACTTCCAATCTGTTTCTAATATCTTCATTTCTTATTTTATCTAATCTTGTTTTTCATAGAATTAACCTCAGGAATTTCATTTCCATTGCTTGAATTCTACTGTGTTCATTTTTAGTGTATCTGTTTCTGATGCATAGGTCAAAATGGGCACAAAATAGACATCATATAAAAGCTTTTTTCATTTTAACAGGAGTTCATTATCCCATGTTGAAGATAAACTGAGTTATTTTTCTGTCATTAATTTATAATTAATACAAAAACTATGCATATTATTGTGTTCTTTGAGTAATATATATAAATTTGTGAATAGTAATATAAATCAAATTTTATACTAATTCACGTGGTAGACTACCACGTGAAGCTGAAGACTGGTTATGTAACCTTGGTATAGGATTGAACGATGGTTTATCTACTAAGCTCTATATCTTCTTTCTATGATTAGTCCCAATAGTTGATAAATTTATTGGATTCACATTTGAGAATTTAGCTATTAAAAAACTTGTAAATATCTCACTAGTTGAAATATAAAATGCAAAATCCAAAATGTATGATTTGTTAATTTATTATGCATTTTAATATTAAATGAGACTATGCATTAATCACACCATTTATTGAAGATAATTATTGAAAATCTTTACTAGATTGTTGTTTATAAGCAAGTAGAATATAAAAAATTGCCATGAAAGTGTATACCAATCAATTTTTGTAGTAATTGTATAGCCATTCTTCTGATAACCATTGACTTGTTGCATGTAATCTGTCATTAATAAATTGATGCTGTATGATCTTATATAATTGTGAAAAGTTTGAAAATAGATTTTGATATAGAAAGCTTTTCAGAAAGTATTTGTGTTTAAGAACATACAAACATTGTTTCCCCCCTTTTTTTTTATAAGAAAAGACCTTAATGATCAGGGGTGGATCTAGGTTTTTCAGGGCCTAGGGTTTATTGAAGTCCAATGGAGCCCCATTTACAATAAAACAAATAATACTATAAATTATCATTATTATTATATTATTAATTATTTTTTACTATACATCGAGTGCTCATTGTTAATGAAAAAGTATTAAAAATTTATGATGATAATTCAATTTTTGTGACCCATGACACTGGAGGCCGAGGGCTTAAGCCCTATTAGTCACTATGTAGATCCATCTCTGTTAATGATAGAGCATTTAAACAAGATTGTCTTTTGAACTCTTTATTCTTTAACCATATTAAATATCTAAGCTACTGTATTCATGCTGTAAAAAACCAAAATTTGACTTGTCATGTGTGACGGTTCTTCTGTAAATGGTAATGAGATTTCATTTGACAGTTTCAGATTAGTGAGGTTATATGTAAAAACAGAGGAAGTCAAATAGGTCTACAAATAAACATGTATATTTTAAAAATTTTATTCTATATTTGGTACATATATTTAAGTTAAAATATGTAAACTCCAATCCAGCTGCTAAATTTGCACTTGGAGCACTCTATTTATACATTAATTTTGATTCATCATTCCTAATTTGTATACTATAGATAAGTAGTAGTATGTTTATTTTTGATTATTTTATAATTAAAACAAGAATGGAATAAAAAGTTGATGTTTTGAAATTAATATACTGTATTGTATTTTATAAACTTATGATAGTTAGAAATACTTAATAAAAAATTTATCACAATTACATGCATGCTCAGTGCCATGTGGCCAGTGATAGTAGCATTTAACTTGAGTTTAGCATCCTTTCCATGAAAGAAGAATGATGGATTCCTCTTTAACTTGGAGGTTAAAACATGAATTTAGTAGTGATATGAATAAATCTCCAAAGAAATACTATTAGAAACAAGAAACAAGTGGAAAATCTATTAATAGAACATATTGGAAAATTATTTTAAATGTGTATTTGAAGTTACGTAATGAAAATCCCAAATGGAATGTTAAGGAATGTGTGAAACAGGTCACAGACTTAGTTTCCTGTTGAACTGTATTGAAAATCAAAAGTGAATGAAACAAAATGATGACAAAAGCCAGGAATCACCCATGTTATCTTCTCTGAACAAAAAGAAAAAAACTGGAAGCCTCATTTCTACCACTTTGATTTGCTCAACAGAGATGTTTGTAGTCATTTGTTTTTGAAGTCATCTGTAATAAAAAAACTCATATTGTCATTCATGAGTTTTTTTTTATTACAGATGAAATTCCTGCTGTAAAAAGGTAATGTTTGCAATAAATTCTGATCCTGATTGTCAAATTTAGGCCAAACTTCCATGAAACATCTGATGAAGGAGTTGGGATTTGCATATGTAAAAAGAAATCAAGAACCTTTCAATTCAGTTCAACAATTCTTTTTGAAGACCACAGAATCTTAGTGGCACCATTCCTATCTTCAGAAAATAAGAGAGTTTTGACAACAAGGGAAAAAAATATATCAGCTTGATGAAACTTAGGTCAACACAGGTCACGTTGTTTGCCATGTTTGGATGCTGTGCAAACTGTACAAGATTTGTTTGTACAAGAACTGTACAAGAAAACTGCCATGTTTGGATGCTGTGCCTGTTGTGTCAGAAATTCCATTGAGAAAAGGTAAACATTTTGCTGTTGTCCATGCAGGAAGTGAATATGTTTTCATTGAAAATGCTTTATTAATTTTTGAAATTAAAACAAACAACAATGATGTCACAATGAAATGAATGGCAAATTATTTGAAGAAAAATTTCAAAAACAGCTCCTACCAAATTTAGAAACAAAATAGTTTAATCTTGATGGATAATGCATCTTATCACTGACATTTTTTTCTAATTTGACAGAGTGATAAGGTGCATTATCTTATCATTGTCAGATTAGAAAAATTGTCAGAAGTTGAAAGAAGCAAGACATCAAAGCATGACTTCATAACAAAGGCATTCCTTTTAGGGACAACATGATAATTATAGTTGTTGGACATTGTTCATTCAGTTCATCATAAGTTTGAAGGGTACTGAATTCACAATATAGCCCAACTGGCAGGTGTGTGTTATGACTACTGCCATAAACCACTGCATGCTGAACCTGATTGAACTGATTTTGGGTAATGTTAAGGATTTGTGATCTATGAAAATAAATTTTTTTAATTAGTCAATGTGAAGGCCTATTCTGTAAAGAAGTAAACAGAATGCAACTACAAGATTGAGCTAGTTGTGTAAAGCATGTGACAGAAGAAGAAAAAAATGTGACAGCTAGACAACAATGTCAATAATCACTTCAATAGCATTGTAATTAACACTATGACAACAGTTCCATTAAATCATCAGATGATGGTGCTGAATAATTTTATACTGTCCAGATTTCTATTAAGCATAAAGCAGTAATCATTTCCATTATATTTTAAACACTATTTTATTGTTAAAGATATTAATTTCTTTGTCCTTGTAGATAGCCTACCTATATTATTAGCTATACATTCTGTAGTTTTTTTTTTTTAACTCTTTCCGCCCTGTGGTCACTAAGAGGGCCTCTTAATTCAAGCCCGTTATGGGTTCAGCCAGACCCACAATGGGGCTGCCGGGTGGTGAGGGATGGGGCCCAACATATCCGAACGGACCACCCCCGAAAAATTCCTGGGGATTTTTCGACCCATTCGGATTCGAACCCTGGTTTCCCAGAGCGGTAGGCTACCACCTTGACCGCTCGGCCATCCGGCCGCATACATTCTGTAGTATATAATAATAGGTAGCTTAATTCAAATTTCCTGCTAGTGAAGGAATCTGGTATACACCAGATTCTGACTTCATGGGGATGGAGTTTAGAACACATTAATTATACAGATTTTTTTTAAATCTATGATTTCTTTGATGTAGTCTGGAATGTTTAACAGAAAAGTGAATAAACTTGATTTGGATTAAATTGTGTTTGGACTGGCACAGGCTCAAATTAGTGAGACGGCACTATAATTAAGCAATAATAGTGTTTTTTAAATATTTAAATGATAATTTTAATTAATTTATATAATTATTTTTTTTTCTTTCTTGGCTGTTATGTATATATAGCCATAGAAATTATTGGAATTGTGTTAAGTTTGACCCTCTGGGTTTTTTTTTTTGCAAATCTTCATATTTTGAGATTTCCTGAACCAAAAGAAGTCAAAAATATGGAGAAAAAATTTCCGTAGATGTGTGTTGGCATCTATTTTGTTTAATATCTCAGGATGGGATAAAGATTAAATTAAGAAATAAAATTTGGCATGGTAGCTGTGTATAAGGGCATTGATACTATTAAATTTTTATTGTTAAAAAGGCCAAGGAGATAGAGAGATAGAAGGTGTTGTGTCATCTTGAGAGGATTCAAGTGTAATGATTTTACTCATTATTAATACAGTAGAGCCTCGAAAACTCGGCACTCAATAACCCGGCACTCCGGATAACTCGGCAACACCCTGGCAGGGCAAAAAATCCTTAGTTAATTAATTTTCATTATAGACAGCTTTATGACTCATAAAGTATTTTTCTAAGGTCTGTCTTATCAGGTAAATTACTGTACACTGTGTATTCATTAATTTTCATTTTCATGTAGTAAAGGCTCTATGCCTTCATAAAGGATGTACTTTTCCTTTGTTTAAGGATATTTGGGCAGTTTATTCTCTGTTGTATTTTCAAGCAAACAATACATACAAGTACAGTACAATATTTTCTGAGGAAACACGCATATTTATCCTTTTTTAATCCCATTCCCGATAACCCAGCATTTTCACAAACTCGGCCACCCTTCAGTCCACATTAGGCCGAGTTTTTGAGGCTCTACTGTATTTACAGTTTTTTTATAAAGCTTGTCTCTACTCTCAAAATTAAGCTTTTTACCATTTTATAATAAAATTTTATAGTAGATACCATTATATACAGTTTTATTTATTATAATTAATAGTATAAAAGTAATTTTTTCATAACAGCTGAGAAAGTTATGCAACTCATTACTGGACTTTTTAAAACTTAATGTGTGTTTATTTCAGCAATGATAATTTAAAAATGAGAAAGTAGATGTTTTAATAGATATAAATTTTGTTTACAAAATCTTAACTAAATTTATAAAATTTAAATGTAATTGTTAAAAGAAAGTTATGATTGTTAATAGCATTTCTAAATTTTTTATTGTAAATTATATGAAAATCTGTATGAAATATATTATATTTAACCTGTTTCTCTCTTATTTAGGTTTCTTTATCAGTTATTATCAAAAAACCAAACAGTTACAGAACAGAACAAAGGATTATTAGTTGAAACATTAAGATCAATTGCAGAAATACTTATATGGGGCGATCAAAATGATAGCACAGTTTTTGAGTAAGTACTTGAATTCTGTATAATTCTATAAAAATTTAAAGATTCTATTATTTTACATACAAAAATACTTTGCACAATANTATTCATTAATTTTCATTTTCATGTAGTAAAGGCTCTATTCCTTCATAAAGGACATACTTTTCCTTTGTTTAAGGGTATTTGGGCAGTTTATTCTTTGTTGTATTCTCAAGCAAACAATACATACAGGTACAGTACAATATTTTCTGAGGAAACACACATATTTATCCTTTTTTAACCCCATTTTCAATAACCTGGCATTTTCACAAACTCAGCCACCCTTCGGTCCACATTAGGCCGAGTTTTTGAGGCTCTACTGTAATAACAAAATTTTTTTTATTGGATCTCAGTTGAATAATTTAAATTGAAATTAAATTATATTCAATAAAAGTGAAATTCAATAAAGCAGTTTTTATTCACATTAGAGTTATTTAATGTAAAACAGGATACAGATTTAAATAAATAAAATATGATTTTGTANTAATTGTTAAAAGAAAGTTATGATTGTTAATAGCATTTCTAAATTTTTTATTGTAAATTATATGAAAATCTGTATGAAATATATTATATTTAACCTGTTTCTCTCTTATTTAGGTTTCTTTATCAGTTATTATCAAAAAACCAAACAGTTACAGAACAGAACAAAGGATTATTAGTTGAAACATTAAGATCAATTGCAGAAATACTTATATGGGGCGATCAAAATGATAGCACAGTTTTTGAGTAAGTACTTGAATTCTGTATAATTCTATAAAAATTTAAAGATTCTATTATTTTACATACAAAAATACTTTGCACAATATTTTATTATATCTACATATACAAACACCTAATGCCTACCTCTAATGACAAATTACTTTATTCTAATCATTTAATTAGCCATATAGTTGCCCGATATTAGGCGATTGTTTGGCAATTTATTACATATACAAACATCTTGAAACCTGATATATGATTAATAAGCCAAACAACTACCAGATTACAGAACTTTCTAAATTATTAAAAGTAATAAGAGATGGTGCCTAATGCCTCCCTGTGATGACAAATTATTTAGAAATTAATTTAAAAAGAATTGCGAATAAATACCCCAATATAATACGCTAGTTGTTTGACTTATTTTATCATATCATTGTAAATTAAAGTAAATGAATATCATCACAGCATAATATATATGTTGATTTGTTTAGTTGAATTCTTTTTGTTTGTTTAAAATAATAGTAATGGTTTATATTCAAAATACATCCAAACAATTTACTTTCAAAATTTCAAGTTGAGAAGTTTACTTGATTATACTAGTGATATTTCCTATTACGATTTTCTACCAACAGCTATTTTTTTTTTTTTTTTTGCTTATATAATTTTTTTGTTTTAAATTGTTTGAGGGCATTTCAGTGAGAGATAACATGGTCTTTTTATAAATGGTTTCCGACAAAACACTTTCTGAAAAGCAACACACTTACACCATGCATAGTGACGCAAATGATATAAGAGATAAAATTAAGATGGTCAAAGTGTACACTATATATTAATGCAAACTAAAATAAAAGTATTTTTATTTTAGCTTGCATTTGTGACAATGTGCAAGTGCCCTCTATGCTTTGGCATCACTTGACCGAAGGGTTGGCACCACTTTGTTGATACCACATCAGGATTCTGACACCACTGTGTCTTATGGATAGACACAGAAACCACTATGGTCACTAATTATTGTTTACATGCAAGCAGTCGTCTGCATATGTGTTCAGACCGAGAGACTCAAAAGAAGTGCACTCCACAACTTGTTTAGCAAAATTACTACCTGTTTATTTACATAGGATTATACATATTCTTATAGGTATAGGAGGTTTGTGAGGATTTTCAAATATAGAGATATTAGGACTATCATAGCAGGTTCCCAACCATGAGAGAGAGAGAGTTTATGTGGTCTTGAGTTGTTAAATACCTGAAGTTGTAAGCTTCTTGAGGAGATTTGTACATTTGCAGGTGGACTTGTCCTGTAGGAAAATGGTATTGCCATTTAGCAGGTAGGATGAGCTTTGTTTAATAAGATGTTGGTATGGGCACCTGGCAGGTTGGATCTGGTCCCTGGCAGCAATCAATGGCGAGGATTTTGATAAGGCAGTGTGTCCAAATCTGGAGTGAACACTCGATGATGGGCAAACTGGAAATAAAGGACCAACTCTCTTGTCGTCATTGATCTTTTTTTTTATTTGGAGGCACTCCCCTTTAATTTCAATGCCCTTTTTAGGTAAGGTTGGTTGGTTAATCCAATAATGATTTTTGATGTTATGTTCTCGATAAGTCAAAAGTGACGAATTCAAATGATGTGTCATCTCAAGACAAGGAAGCAAGTCCTTGGGAAATAGAATCACTTCCTGCTAGTTGACAAAAAACAATTGTATTTTGTATACAGGAATATTTGAACTTATTTTCTTTTGTTTCTTTCAAAAAGTTTTGGAAAATTTTTTTTTGTCAAGTTTGTGCTTTTGCACATTAATGTGTATGGTGTACACTTTGTCCATGTAACATGTGCAATTATATATATATTATATATAAAGATTTTTGTATAATCATTGATTTAAAAAAGTTATGCACTATGCACTAACACTGTATTGGAATCAAATGAAATATTATTAGTGTGAACAGAATTGTGAGAGCCAAATTTGTTGTGTTAATCTATTTTCCCACGAACTTATTTCCTTATAATGATGATACATCGAATGTGTCACCTGGAATCAACGAGTGAAAATGTGACTATTGGCCACGATGTACTAAACCTCCTAACGAAGTCATGGGAAAAACCCAGGAGGAGTCCCCTAATAAAAAGGGGGGGTGACAACAAGTCAGGGCAGTTGTCATCAACCCTTTTTCATATAAACAAACGACACTAACTCTATAAAATTAACTCTAAATACCAAAATGATTAATTTACTGTGTTTTTGTTGTTTATAACTCCTGTTTTTAGGTATTCGGTATTCGGCCGAATAGTGATTAAATATTCGGTATTCGGCCGAATAGTGATTAAATATTCGGTATTCGGCCGAATAGTGAAAAATAGGCTGAATACCGAATAGTAACCGAATATTCGTTACATCACTAGTATTTACCATATCTTGAACTTACTGTGAGCTCTCTCTCGGTCAGGGTCGTGTTGGATATATCTCCATATATCCCTTTAGCAATTGTGCTAAGTGTCTAACTTACTTTTAGCCATTGGGCTAAGTTTCTGAATGTTGGAAACTTGTAACCAGTATCTCATAGAATTTGTAAATACTATCTAACAATAAACAGGTATTTTTGTTAAATGATAATTTGTGGAGTATACTTCTTCTGATTCTCTCCTGCCGCCATTCAGGTCCAAAGTACTGACAGTGGTGTCAGTACTTTGGACCTGAATGGTTTACATTTTTTACACATTGGTGTCAGTCCTGACAGGGTGCCAAAGAGGCTCTGACCCTACGGTCACAGTGGTGTCAGTCCTGACAAGGTGCCAAAGAGGCTTGACTCTGTGATCACATAATAATGATGGTAATAAGTGATTACAATATCATAGCAAAGGGACAATTTCCTATGGAACAGTGGTACAATTTAAAAAAGACCCATTAGCATCTTGCAGGACTTGGCTGTATTCATGAGGTGATGCAGGCGTGGAGGCTTACAAGTACCATATGACATATGTTGCAAGTTCTCTCCAGATACCTTATACTTATAGATGGTCAAAACTGAGGTTTCATCTGCAGGACTGACAAATACTTGATGGGTGATAAACCTGAGGATCTGACAGGCCAAGGAAGTGTAGAAAAGTGACAGACCTTTCTCAGAAACCCTAACTGTCTGCAGTTGACCATTATCTTGCTAGAAAATGACTGCTTGCAGCCTTTCTATGAAAGACAGCATATGAGGGTGAAAGATTTCCTGAATGTATCTGTGTTGTCAATATCCCTCAGTCCACTAGTAGGGATGATCAACTGTCATATGAGATGGAGGCTTTCCTGTCATGATGATCAACAGTAAACATGAGATTTAAGTGTTTACCAGTGGTCCTCCACACTCTAACAAACTGATTGTCTTTTCCTAAAGAGATTCATCACTAAAGACAGTACTCTGTCAATCCATAGATCCACACTTCTGTCATAGCACCACTGCAAATGATGTTTCTGCTAATGACAAGATGCACAACAGTTGCCTTATGTGCAAATTTGCTTCTGCTAGCCCTGTAGATGGTATGTGAAGAGGCAGAATTCTGTAGCAAGATTTCCAGCTGTATCTTGTGATCAGACTAACATCTCTCCTACTGCTCTGTGTGATGTAAGCAGACTCTAGGCATCCCATGTATGTGTCTTTAAGTATCCACTGTTCCAAAATCTCTTTATGATTAGGTCACAATGTCCCAGATGGTCATCCTCCTCCGCAACCAAATTTTGCAGCTTTTCTAAAACTCCATCAGCTGTGCATAGTGTCTTTGACTCCTGTCATACAGACATGCTTGACATTTGAAGATCTCCAAACAACAGATACACCGGAAATTCTGAATGTTGTGAGCCTTTTTATAGGATACTGAGGTAGTATTTTTAATGCACTTTGGTGGTTGTAGCTGGTATACAACTGGATCACAACTGTAATTATTTATATTATAATTCTTCTGAATGTCATTATTTTTTAATAATACTAATCCTTTTATTTGTTAACTAGCAGACCCCGCCATGCATTGTTGTGGCTCAAAATGTATCTATTATAAATTTATAACGCTTCCCCGTGGGGGAGAATTTTTCGAAAAATTTCTTCTTACTGTACATTCTGTTACATACCCTATTAAAATGCAAAAAACCGCATCTAAAATAGTATAAATAGAAGCAGAGTTCTTTACAGTAAGCCTTAATCCTAACCATCTCCCTTCAGTGGGGGGAATTTCGACACGTATATTATATAAAAACACATGCGTATTCGAATGCAGCGTTGTGTCAAAATTTCAAAGGAATCGGTAGGAACAAACGAACATTACATTTTTATTTATATAGATAGATAGAAGATGATCTGCTTTAGTTCATTTTCACAGAAAAGCATAATGCCTCACAGAAAAGCAAACTTAGGGCGTCGTACTCGTAGCGCCATCTGTTGGACATAAAAGCCTTAACCTAGATTATATATTTTAATTTACATGAATGTTTGACGAAATAATATACAGCCTATGTCCACCCTGAGGTTCCATTCTAAATATTGATGAAAGAATTTTTGAAATCGGATGAGTAGTTTCGGAGATTACATGCTGCAAACATACATACATACATACATACATACATACTTACTTACATACATACTTACATACATACATACTTACTTACATACTTACTTACTTACAAACATTACCTCTTTATAATATTAGTATAGATAAATATGTTGAAATCTATTTACTTTAACAACATTCGAAATTTACTATTTTTAAAAAGACACTGATTTCATTTATTTCAGGAGATTCCTATAAATTTTTTTGTATTAATGTTAAAACTGTATCTCATAAAAAATAACTTAATCCTTTTGTGATTTTTAGGATATTATAACTAAATCATAGACTAAGATATTCTGCACATATTACTCACTGTAAGAGTCAATGTCTCTTGTATTTTCATATCAAAATAATTTTCCTATTCTATAGTTTTTTGTCTACAGTATAAAATTAAATTTGTTAAGCATTAAAAAAAAGTGAATTTAATTAACAAAATTCAAATAATTCTCTGAAATTTAGACTAGATTAAGAGAAACATTATTTTGCTTTACTCTTTCTGGAAAGAAATTGATAAAAACACTTTTCTGAATAAACTTTATAATTTTCATTCATATCTAAAAATGTTTAAAGAATATCTAGCAATTAAGATTCATAAATGTAACTAAAATTTTAATCAGAAATGTACCCATCCACCAGGTAGCTGACCATGTGAAGTTTTTAGTGTCTCACAAGTCTTCCTGGAAGACACTTTCCTCAGCAGATTGCTTTATCTCATCAATTCAAGTGCTATTAAGCATGAAAAAATCTAGATAAATAAATAAAACTCGCGCCAAAATTGTATAGCTTCTTGATAAAAAGCACTGAGTTCAGCATTAAGAAAAATCGTATTAATGCTGAACTAGTGCTTTTTATCAAGAAGCTATGAAAAAAATCTATAAAAAGTTCATAGACTAGTTGAAATTAGTGCAGAATACTGTAGAAATTTTTGTATCTGGTACTTGAGATAATTCAGATAATGCATGCCCTTGAGAATTTCATATTCAAGAACATGTAGCATTTCTGATTTTGTAAAATTTGTATTAACTTATGTTTTGCTCTTACAATTTAAACAAAGATGGACTGTTGATGATACAAATATTAAAACCAATAAACAATTAAACCATATAAATTAATGAAATGATGATTTAATGAGTGGGCATGATTTATGCAAGAGTTAATTTGAGAAAATGTGCATAAACAAGAATTCATGCAATGTAAAAATACACTGAAATTCCAAGAGAATTCATGCTTTTAACATAAATAATCAACAAAACAATTTTTTGAGCTATGTGATGTATAAAGAGCTTTACTGTATTTATATCAATAAATTACAAGTTAAATAAATTTTTAATGAAAACTTATATGTACTGTGTGAAAAAAATTTTCTTGAAAAGTTAACTGAAAGTTACTTGTGTACTAAAAATGTAAATAATACAGGGTTATTGAAATTAAACTAACCTAACTCAGAGTTCTGGAGAGTGATCTGCTGGTTGAAATGAAACATTTGGACAACAGGTACTTCAGATAATGCACTCACCATTTATTAAATAAAAAAATTTTTGGACAAAAAATCACTAATAGATAGTTGATGCTGGTGCTATGCAAATCACAGTTACAAATGTTCAATATATGCTCCATACACTAAAGCATGTTTTCCACTGCTGAATGCGATGAGTCTTCTTTAGTCACAAGAACATGCTGATGAACTCTTCCATTAGATCTAATGCAAATGCATATCTTTCACGAGAGACCTGGTCTTTCAAAAAACCCCTTAGCCAGAAGTCATATGAGGTAAAATCTGGCCAAGCTGTTGGGATCACCCGTTCATTCATGAAAGTCTGCCTTAACACACTTTGAACAGAATGAGGGATGTGGGATGGTGCACCATCTTTCATGAATATGGTATCTTGAAGGCTTTGTTGAAGCTCTGGTATTGAAAAGTCATTAGCATGTTAAGATACTATTCTCCAATAATGGAACAGGTTTGGACAACTCCAACGCTATTTATCAGTGACTTTTTATATGAAAAATTTTTATTTAATAGATGGCGAGCACATCATTTGAAATATCTGTTGTCCAAATGTTTCATTTTGAGCAGTAGAATATACTCCAGCGTCTTCTGTGTTGGGAAAGTTTGATTTTGACAACTCTATATATACAAGGTCTGTTCAAAAAGTATCGGACCTTATTTTTTTCCGCGTAAACCAATGATGCGCGAGAGGCCTCCTTTGGTGGAGTTGTGGAGGGGACAATCATGCACATCTCTGAATTTTTTCCCGCCTGCAGGAAGCGTCAGTCGTTGGCAATCGGCCTATGAGTGAGGTCATGTAGAGCGCTCTCGTCGGATTCCACTAAGCTGAAAAATGACTGAACAACGCGAGCAGCGGTATTACATCAAATTTTGCCAAAAACCTTGACCATACCCTAGTGTAAATCATTCGCAAGATTCAGCAGGCTTTCGGGGACGATCCTCGAGGCCAAAAAAA